AGACCGCTCTCAACAAGTTGGGTTCCTGGTGGCACAAGTGCTAAAGCTCTTGGGCATGATGTCCGCATGGCGGATGCTACAGTTTTCCAGTCCTCACTCGTCAATCCTGAACCTGAATCTAACGCCTCACCTGCCAATTGCTTCTGCCCTAGCACCCAAGCCCCTAAACCCTAAACCCTAAACCCTAAACCCTAAACCCTAAACCCTAAACCCTAAACCCTAAACCCTAAACCCTAAACCCTAAACCCTAAACCCTAAACCCTAAACCCTAAACCTAAACCTCTGTCCAGAATGTCCATCGGTAGCTCCAGGGCCCACGACCAGGGCGCACGACCAGGGCGATGCAGCGGTTAGAGCTCTTGGACGAAACAGGTCTAGGATCTAAACCAATCGTTTGAGAACCCCTTCCATGCCCCAAACCCTCTAAACTTTCTAAGCCTAAAGCCCACCCCAAACCCTAGAAACCCTCTAAACCTAAAGCCTTTCAAAATCTCAGCCCTGCCATCCTCCGCCTTCGCCGCCACCTGGTGCCCACTTGCAGCTTGCTGCCCAAGGCTTCAAGGGGAGACCCTCGCCACGACTCTGCAGAGCATGTTTTTGAGTGTAGGGGCTGACTGTGTTTTCGGGTTTGTTGGGCTAGGGACACGCTAAACTTCGCTAAGCCCTTTGGCCCCTTTGGCTTGGGGAGATGGCGCGGCACAAGAACAGTTTTGGGCGAGCGCTTGCCAGTCTCCACCGTTCTATCGTTCCTTGCTCCGGCAACCGTCATACATGACTCTACCCTAAACCCTTACTTAACCCTAAACCCTTGTAAACCCCAAACCCTAAACCCGCTTCTTTTGCCTCCTGGCCTCTTCTCTCGGGACGACGACGAATGTCGGATTTTCAAGTCTGAGGTCCATGTGCCATAATCGTAGTATAGTAGTATAGTTTTGTAGTATAGTACATGAAGCCTTGCAGAATCAGGGCTAATAAGGTGGGGATTCCAGACCTAGTCCGATTCAGGCTCACAAAGGGTCCCTAAGCCTCCTGGCCTAAACCCTAAACCCTAAACCCTAAACCCTAAACCAGGTTTAGGGATCAGGGGTTCAGTTCATGAACCCTGAAGCGCCTCCCCTTGGAGAGAACGCCTCGTTGCCTCGACTTCCAGACTGCAGAAGCCAGTGCGTGCCGGAAGGTTCATGTGGTCCCTGCTGGGATTCTTATTGCAATACGGAGCCTTAGTTGTACTTACGTAGGGGTGCCCGAAAAGGGACCAGAACTTGAAATACCCCTATAATGGCACCCGCTGTGTGCGGGTGTAGTTGCAGGTATTGCGTTGTGGTAGGCTGTTTCCTAACTGACGGTCAAGTGGGAACAAGTTGTGCAGTATTTCGGCTTCGGTGACTTCTTGCTGTCATCTGCTTCCTGGCCGTCATGTGTATGGAGGAAACACATCACCTCAAAGATAGGAAGAAGTACGATTTGTTGCCAGGAGTTGGGGCTTGATTGTCAAGGATGGGAAGAAGTACGATTTGTTGCAGCTGGTTGGGGGCTTGATTGTCAAAGGTTGGAAGAAGTACGGTTGCCGCCGGTATGGGCTTGATTGGCAAAGATGGGAAGAAGTACGATGTTGCCGCTGGTTTGGGCGAAAAAGTACGATTTGTTGCCTGGTGGCACTTGTGGCTTAACATTTGTGATAACAGGACACTGGTCGAATCAGGTCGACCTATAAGTGTTGTCAAACTGTGCTGGTGGTTCTACCTTGCCGTGTGGTTTAGGGTCTAGGGTTTAGGCTTTAGGGTTCCGGGTTTAGGGAGAGTGATGTCACAACGTTTTCTGGACGAAGGCTTTGCAAGTGCTGCACTCATGAAAGTCCATGGCGCTCAACCATACTGCAAAGTGTCATCTGGCTACCCTTCGGCTTTCACGCGTGTTGGCTTAGGCTCTTACCAGGAAGTGTCCACAGTCCCAACGATACTTTAAGTCTAGCAACTAGATATATCGCAAACATGACGAGCAATTTTTTTACACCGTGGCTTGGCACACAATCCAGCATTGACGGCATACGCCCCGACCCACGAAGAGCCGGCACGGGACAGGACTCTTGAAGTTCAGATGCCGGGTGTCAACAGAGGCACCGGCTTCACCCCATCACGATCTGCAGCTGCTAGGGTGGCAGCATGACCGTCTTGCGCAAGGTTGCGGGGCCGAAACACAAAACACCCTGAACTTCCCCGAGCCGATATATGTATATATATATATATATATATCTATCTATATATATATATATGGTAAGCTCTGACATCGAGCTGATATGCGTCTCATGTGAGTCTTACCGGAGCTAGCTGTCACGGGCTTCTGGCAACATCCACGGTGCCTAAACCCTATATACGCCCCAGGAGCAGACTCAACGGAGTTCCCTTTGTTGGTTTACCATAAACTCTATACACCCTAGGGCTAGGTTTTAGTTTTTTGTTCTTGTTTCTGGCAGAATCTGGATCGGGCTTCTGTTTCGACAGCCTACCTTCAAAGCGGCTTCTTCAACTGTCATACAGAAGAGCTTCAGCTATGGCAGACTTCCAATAGTCCTGAGATGTTTGGGTAGGTCCCGTTGAGAAATTGACAACCCAGTTTTTTAAATTGTGGTTTGCTTTTAGGCAGACATGCAAGAATCCTGCACAAAGGGTTTCTAAGAACAGCAGGATGGGAAGCCTTATGTCAGGTCTTCAGGGAACTGTTTGGAGGCCCACGGAACCTGAACATCTGCAACAGAACTGCAAGACGGCTTTCCTGTTGTCCTGTCCGTTTGCCAAATATGCGGCTGTCACGAGGTCCTCTCGCCTTCAATCGGTCCATGGGGTTGCCTTTCTCCAGTTGGAGCCTTTGGGAGATACAAGCAGTCTTGAGAATATTTGAGAATGCATATGATGTCATCAGACCCGGGAGAGTAAGTTCATGAACTAAGGCGAACGATCTATGTCAGTCTACTTTTCTGAAGATTAATGGGCTGAAATGAGTACGGCCGCCTTCATTACGGTCCTAAGCAAAATCGCCCGAAGCCCTAAACTGTCTTGGACCAGGAGAGGTTCGTGCACAGCTTGTTGCATTGGCACTTGCACGCCAATCCCTGTGACATGCGGAAGCGCATTCCCTCCTCGAAATCTGAACCCTCTGCAATCCGATTCCCGTGCCCGCATTCATCCAGCCTTGCCTCCTGCCGGCCGGGTGGGAGCTGAAGTATACAAAGCGTAGTTTTTCCGCAGAGGCATGCACTTCAGTAAAGATGGCTGCGGAGCCAGATAGGTGAGACTGGATGATGCTGGGTGCGTGGCTATAACAACGCTCTTGGTCCGAGGCTACAAAGTCAGGGGCCAGGTTTTTGCACATATCTACTGTTTCTTTCAACAGAATGGCATCATCATAGCAAAGAAGAGTCTCGAGTCTCGTTTCTACAACGGAGGCAGAGGTAGTTCGACTGAGGGAGCGCCACCCCCTCACCATCGGGCTCACAGTTGGAGCGCCTACTTTGGCTCTCCATTTCCCCGCTGGGGTGGCATCCATGTCTCATAGAAAATTTGGCAGGTGCCGGCCGTCTACTAGAAGCTACTCTATAGCAACTCTGGCTTTGGACATGGCGCAGGTGTCTCTGGGGCCCACATGTATGATTGTTTCCCGACCATTGGGGGGGCTCCCCTTGATATTCTTCAAAGTACCCCACCTCGGCGGTTACAGTATGCAGGCCAGGGCAGTTTGTGTACCTGGGTGGCCTAAAGCGCCTCTATAAGCCCGCTTCGAATAGGTTCAGGCTTCTAACAGGGTGGCACCGCCGACCTCAACTGCGCTTCCCAGCCCATTGAGGCTGGGGTTGGGCTAGGGTTTAGGTTTTAGGGCTTCGGGCTTAGGGCTAAGGGCTCAGGGCTTGGGGTTGGGTTGAGGGTTAAGGGTTTAGGGTACTCGGTTTTGTTCGTGTAAGCTTGAGGTTACTCTTGATTCATAAGGACTTCCAGAATGGCTTGGGGTAGTAAAAGGTGCTCTCCCAGAGGGTTCTGGTGAGAGGGCTCCAAAGTAGAAAATAATCATCGTCTCGGGGGTACAGGATTCAGGCTGGCGGGCTCAGTATGCCAGTGAGGAGTTTTGTGGTACTGAGCTTGCCGGGCGCACGTGGACAAACAGCCCTGTGCATCTTGAACACAGCCGCAGGCAAGTGCATTCCGCAGCGTGCAAATTTGGAGCCAGCGCCTTACTCGGAAGATTTCAGTTCAAAGTAGATACACGCAGCTTCGATGTACCCCAATGTCGCCCCTTCCCCCCCCCCTTCCCCCCCCACTCCAATTCATCCTCTTCTCCCCAGGTCGAAGCAGCGTCCTGGTGCGTTATAGACTTGATATGCAGCGGCTTTTGCTGAGACATTTGAAGAAAAGGGCCGACGTGCCATGCCATGTTTTGGGCTTGGCTTTGGGGCATCTTGCAGGGCTTTCGCCTGGATGGTTTAGGGTTTAGGGTTTAGGGTTCAGGGTTTAGGGGAGGGTTTAGTTAGGTATACGGGGGGGTGGGTGGGTTAGCTTAGCCCGATCTGCAGTGTTCCCTGGTCCTAGAGTATGCTTCTTGAGCACCAGGAACATACCCGTATCCCCACTTTGGTCAGCTTGGAGCGCGAACTTAGCTTTCGCTTTCGCCACCGGCCTCGGCGCCCCCGGCAGGTTTGAAGTTACTTTTCAATCGGGCCTAAGTGAGGCCCCGTTCATTCCCTGCCAACTCCTTGAGCAGCTCAACTGCAATCCCAGCAGGTCTCAACCCGCTTCACTTCCCGGCCAGAAAAGCCCCAGCTGGCGCACCCTGTGGGGACATTCACCTTCTGCATCGCCGTGGTGGCAGGGGGCAAGGAAAGCATCTATCAGAAAGCAGCCATACTCCGACGAAGAAGTCGAGACCCACCTGCGTTCACCCTTAAGCTCTGAGCCCACGCGCACGGACGAAGCACTGACCAGGGAAGCTGAACCCGTGCGACATGGCTTCCCATGGCTCCCCGGCCTTGGCCCCTGCTGCTGGCCGGGGCAGTGGCCTGGAACTTGTCGGCACCCCGCGAGCACGAGGAGGGCGGACGGGGGGGAGGCAGACGAAGGTTGATGTAGGTGTTCAAGGGTTTGTATGTAGGGTTTACTCTGCAGTTTTATACCCGACATAGCGCGTGCAGCTGCGAGCGTCAGCTGCGGCACGAGATGTAGAGGGAGAGCAAGAGCGAGAGAGAGGTAGACCCAGCCCAGAGATAGAGGGAGACCAGAAGAGAGAGAGAGAGAGAGAGAGAGAGAGAGAGAGTGAGAGAGAGTGAGAGAGTGAGAGAGTGAGAGAGTGAGAGAGTGAGAGAGTGAGAGAGTGAGAGAGTGAGAGAGTGAGAGAGTGAGAGAGTGAGAGAGAGAGAGAGACTGACAGATTGGGCAGACAGACAGAGAGTGAGAGTGGAGTGTAGTCATTCGTGCAGTAGCCTGGCTTGGATTATAGGATGTAGAGCCTTCCCATGCCCTGGAGCAGAGGCCTTTCTTCTGATTGACTGTGTGGCCGCAGCATCGCGACTCCCAAAGCATCACGCCCCAAACAGGACTTTTACGCTTTCCTGCTTCACATCACAGAGGGCCAGCCAGAGCTGCGCCAGTTCCTTGTGAGGCGCTGGGGCGTCTTGGGATCGTAGAGGTCATGACGTGCTTGTTCCGGGTCCAGTGGTCCAAAGTCTTGCAGATGCAGGTTTTTGAGAGTTTGCAGCACGTGTACTCTAAAGACTGCTAGTGGCTAGCGGGTGCAGATCCATGCACAAGTTAGATCTTCTGGCTGGTGTTGCACAGAGTACGCTAGATGTCGAGACACCCAAAGACCCAATTAATGTCAGGTGCTACACGTCTAGGAGCGACTGGTAGTCACTATCTCGGTGTTGTCGTGAGTAATTCGGCATATATGGCCCAGAATGTGCCAAACACGCTTCGTCTGCCTCCGCATGGATCCATACTACGGCAGGGAACCGCAACATGCCTACACCTATTGCGCAACCCGTGACCTACACCTCACCCTCAACGACCCCTATAGGCCCCCTCTCCTCACCCCCTACACAGCCGGCGCCCCTTAAACCCCAAAGAGGAAGATGCTCCTTCATCTCACCACCCCGGCTTGGGCGGGCGCCCAGTGTCCGGCTCCGACCCATGGCGAGACTTTCAGGGTTTATAAGGGCCCCCAGTGACTGAGCATGTCATGGAGCATGTCTTACTAGTAGCTCGCTTGCAAAAGCAAAGTGGCATAGCTTCTGCCGATGTTTTGCGAGGAATCGCGCTTCGAGACGTGGCGACGGCGGGCCGGCCGAGGACGAACCGGGCTGTGAGGGACATGGGGTGAGCTTTGGTTCAGGGTTTTGAGAGTTTAGGGTCTAGGGTTTAGGGTTTAGGGTTACCGAAGATCCCAAAGCAGCCCCTTACAAGCCTCGACAGCCACAAACGGGTAACCTTCCGAAGGCCTTTAGCTTCCAAAGCCCTGAAGGAAGTTCCGAAAGCCTGACAAGCCCTCAACCCAGAATCATTCCTACACTCATAGACCCCAACTGTAGATAGACACTAGTAGACCCTTACAATTTTTGAGGTGCTGAGTTTTCCTGGAGATATTGAAGGCGGCTGCGAAAGATTGCCGGCAAAACAGCATCGTAAAATGCGCTTGCTCGGATGGGTTTTCATTTTATCTGCTTCCAGCCAAGGCAAAGAAAGTTGCCGCTTGACACAAAATGTCGACGCGTTCGTGTTGCATGCGGTTGAGTGTTAAAGTTCGCAAATTCCAAACCATGATCAATAAGCACCTTTGCCAAGTATCAAGTGGCTCCAAAGAAGATAATCACAATTGGCTCCAAAGCAAAGAACCCAAATTCACACCACACATGCGGTCTCTTGCCGAAAAAATCGAAATTTTCCAAAGGGCGCTAAAGCCAAAGCCGCTAGGATCGCCAGGGCTATGGTGAGTAGATGAGACTGGAAAAGGTACCCCATAATGAAACTGCCCATTTAATAGAATTAACAACAATAACCATAATAGTAACAATAGCAAAAAACCATAGTAATAATCAGCAGAAGAGGAAGCATAGTAATAATCATAATCATCAACATCATCATAATCAGAATCATATTGAGGGTCCCGGGTTTCCCTTGAGGCCTTGGAGATCGTGAGCCTCATTGCCACGCCAGTCGAGGCGCGTGCGAGTCTTACCTTTTGTAGCCCCAAAATCCCTTAATCGTATTCCCCTATAAGCCCCTATTTCTCTACCTTATGGAGCCCCTAAATAGCCTTAGTGGGGTTTCGGGCAGTGCGGGTGCGATTTTGGGGCTGTGTCGGGTTTCTAGGGTTGTCGCTGAAGACCGGCCTCCAGATTTGTGAAGGCCTTTTCGTGCTTGAGGTAGGTCTGTAGAGTGCAGGCTTTCAGCTGAGAGAGCAGCTGTTGGCTGTTGAGGTCGAAGCTTCCCTTCATCCCTGGAATTCCCTCAAATCAGGGTCCCGGTTCCCGTGTTTACCCACCCCTCCCCCCCCTCTCGTAGAATCCCACATTAAGAGGAGTGTGAAATAAAATGCGGAAACCGCTCATCTTACAACTTAAAGGAAAAATGATTGTACCCTCCTCCCCTCCCCTCCCCTTCCCTCCCCTCCCCTCCCCCTCCCCCCCTCCTAGGCTTGTCTTGAGGGAGCTTTGCTCCTATCCCCAGTCTGGCCTTTGAGCTTCAAGGTTGCCAGGCTTAGGGCTGTTTAGGTTTAGGGTTTAGGGTTTAGGGTTTAGGGCTGTAGGGCTGTAGGGCTGTAGGGCTGTAGGGCTGTAGGGCTGTAGGGCTGTAGGGCTGTGGGCTGTAGGGCTGTAGGGCTGTAGGGCTGTAGGGCTGTAGGGCCGTAGGACTGTAGGGCTGTAGGGCTGTAGGGCTGTAGGGTTGTAGGCTGGGGCTCAGGGTGTACGGCCAGACTGCTGGCTGGCTCAGAAGAGTGTCCTCCGATTCTGCTTAGGGGTTCAAGAGGATGCCCAGTGGAGCCCCTGTTCCCTTTAGGAGGGGAGGGGGGGGATTCAGGGTTCAGGGGTTAGGGTTTGGGGCATAAACCCCCCCATCTGACAAGAAAGTGCACCTGCTTGGTTGGGGATAAGGGGGAGTGAAGAAAGTTCCAGGGTCTACAGGGAGCTCAGCTTGGGCAGGCCTTCTCCTGGCGAGCCATGGTCCGGATGACCTTAGAGGACCTCCGGGGCCGATCTGAGTTTTTTAGGGCTTAGGGTTCAGGGCCTAGGGTTTAGGGTTGGAGCCCGAGAAACAACATACTTTGTAGGACAAGGGTCCCGCCAAAACCAAAAGCCACCAGAATTTAGGCCACCCTCACGCAAGGCAAGCTTGAGGGAGAGGGGGGAGAAGCAAGACGCCTGGTTGCTCTGAAAGTTCCGGGGCTTGGAAGGTTTAGGGAAGACAGAACCTGAAGGGAAGCCTGATTCTCCGGTGAATCCAAATCCTGATCAAACCTATACATGAGCCCAAACCCTAAACCCTAAACATGTAGCCCAAGCGCGTAGCCCTGATGTTTTTGTTCCGAACAGCAGGGACTGAGCCTCTATCAGCTCCTCCTCGCACTCAGTCCATCTGAAGATGTGGCACGAGAAGTCTGGGGGTTTAGGGTTTAGGGTTTATAGGGTGTATAGGGTGTATAGGGTTTATAGGGTTTATAGGGTTTATAGGGTTTATAGGGTTTATCGGGTGTTTAGGGTTTAGGGTTTAGGGGTATCGCGAAAGATGTCGAGACCTGAAGGGCGTTTGCAGCTTCGGTCTTTTGAGGGCAGGCCTTGGCAGGCTCCAGTCGTTCCACAAGACTATGATTTGGGATCCTGCGCCTTAAGGGTGTTTGGCGCATGGTTTTAGGGTTTAGGGTTTCAGCCTCTGCAAGAGAGGAGCTTGCAACGGGTGTCACGGCGGGATGCCCCGCGCCCTGGCATTGGGAAATTCAAGACTTGTTTGTTGGATTCACCACGGCAGCTTTGAAATCTTTGGATTTATCTTTGTTATCAAGTTTCGTAGGGTCTAAGCAAATAGTTTTCAGTATAGGCTTCATGAGCGACTCTTGCGGGTTTAGGTTTTGAGGCTTGAGGGCGTTGCAGAGGTGGCTGTTCACCCCCGCTTCGCGGTGGGCCGGCCGCCAGCCTGGCAGCACAAGCAGCTCGAGCACGAGGCAGGAAGGGGCGGAACGCGGTGGCTTCACAGGGATTTCTGGAGACCATGTCAACTCATACGCATCCCCCATTGTGAGGAGGCGCGTATGTAGCCTGTTTGCGCAGCCATGGACATGACAGGTGCCGAGGACAAAACCCCTAGTCTGCACGATGCAACCATGCGGATCCCTCTATGCCCAGTTCAGAAGACATTTCAACAGAACAGCCTCCGCTACACGACAACATCCTGCCCACCTTTGGCAAAATAAGGCCGAGGCTTTCGGGGATCTGGCGCTGCTGAATATGAGCCTCAGGGGCACTTTATGCAGCTTTTGATTTGGAGATTTGGTAGGGTAGGCCCCAATGGTCCGATCCCAAGGATCACCGGTCTGAGGGGGGGGGGGGTGCCAGCTTGCGACCGTCCAACCTGCGGCCCTTCCTCAAAGTATCTCTTAACCCCCAATACCCTAAACCCTAAACCCCCCAAAGTGTGCCGAGGACTGACAGCTTCATCACAGCTGGCTCCTGGGTTCGGACTTAGTGCTCTTGCTCGGCCGGATTTGGTTGCTGCTCACGACTCTGACAATGTTGCTCTTCGTATTTTTTCGTAGAACTTACAATATTTCTACTGAGCACTTGTATGACTACTGTTGGAAGAAATGATCGAAGCAAAGACCTTTTTGTATCTTATGGGTGGAGAGGCCCCATGTCCGGCGCCTGAGCAGTCTTGTGCCACGCTTGGCGCTGCACATGTTCTCGGAAGCAGTTGCTGTGCTTTCAACCTTCGAGCTGGTACCCCAAACCCCCTACTAAAATCTTACGAAAACCCTGCGATAACCCTACCAAAACCCTAAAACTCTACCAAAACCCTACTTTAGACGAAAACCCTATTATAAAGTCCTATTAAAACCCTACTAGCAGCCGGCCAACACCCTAGTCCCAAAGTGAAGTTGGCTTCCTGCAAGGCCAGAACTCGGAGAAGACGTGGCTGTCCTTTGAGCCCCCTGGAGTCGCAATCAGTGTGCTGTTTAGGGTTTAGGGTTTAGGGTTTAGGGTTTAGGGTTTAGGGTTTAGGGTTTAGGGTTTCAGGGGAGGACTTGTGGGGTCTTCTGGGAGGCTTAGGATGCTGCATCGGTGGCTGACAGGGGTTTATGGTTTAGGGTTGGGGGGGGAGGGGGGGGGGGGGGGCAGTGGGTTCTTGGAGGAGTTCTAGGAGGTTTCCCGTTTCTCTCCTCGCCTGGGATGCATCAGGGAGCTGCCAGACACTATTAGCGACCGCCTTGTCCACACATCCACATCCCCAAAGCCTCAGCTCAACACGCAGCAATCGCCCATGACAAGAGTCTTATTACCTTGTCGTCTGGAGCAGCCAAGGTGGGCGGTGAGGAGCTTCCCCAACGCCGATCTGATTTTTCATCAAGATGGTGCCGGGTACCAAGAATCCCCGTGCGCTGTAGTCAAGCCGATGGGGTCTAATGGGCTTTGGGCAGAATATTTGCAGAGTTCTAAACCCTAAGCCTTAAACTTTGGAGCTTTTGAGCGGCTGGCCCCTTCCCGAGCCATCCCTCCCAGAAACCTGGGCTCTTAAGGACACCATGGTGGATTGGCGCGAAGCCGTCCCGCGGCTGCTGCGGCGCATTTTCGGCACCTGGATTTGGTTAGCTGTGGGGGTTTCGGGGTCTAGCTGAAGGATTGAGGCGTTTGGAGTTTGGGGGGTTGATGGTGTTAGTAGTTAGGGTTAGCGCCCGCCCAGGCGTGCTTCCCCCTGCGAGGCGTGACATCCGGAGGCCCCTCGCTTAAGCAGCGTTTTTTTTTCATGATTCAATGCCGCTTCGAGTTGCAAGGTGCCACCTTCAATTCACTTCCAAGCTTGCACGTATGCAATTCGGACTCTGAGTAGTAGTCATGCAAAGTTTGGATCTTATGGGGAAGGTTGTTTGCAGTCCTGCCCCAAGCCCACTGCCACACAACGTATACTTGCATTACAGGTTGTAGGTGGGATGCGGTCGGATTTACCCGGGATGTGCAGGGATGTAGAGAGGGTGATGACGGTGAGCACCTGGGCCCTACAACTCAGCGTGATTGCATGTGTGTATTAACATATATATATATATATATGAACAAATTTTGCATGTTATGTTATACGGTGTAGCATATAACTATAAGATAATATTTGACAAGAGGATGTAAGCTCCAATAGTTTGGCAGGCTTTACTTGGGCCGCCTCTGCGAGCGAGCACCCACGCGCCATGCCAAATCTACGGGGCCCGGCATGCTGAAGCACAGGGTTTAGGGTTTAGGGTTTAGGGTTTATGGGTTTATGGGTTTATGGGTTTATGGGTTTTTGTGGCCTTTATTGTGGGGGGGGGGGGGGAACCTAGGGGGCGTAGTATTCAGGGGGGCACTAGGGGAACCCATGATCAAGAGTTAGAGGGTGTCGAGCTTTACGTTTCCAGCCAAAACGTCCTGAGCCCTACACCTTTTGGATGTAAGGGGCAAAAGGGGATGTCTTTAAAGTTCGGACATTAAAGCCTCCCTGAGCCTATCCCTGAAGCCTTGAATCCATCCCCCCAAAAAGCGCAAAAGACAATCCCAAACCTCAAGAATCCTAAAATGGAAAGGCAACAGCCCTGCAGAGCCCTGAGCCCTGAAGCCACAGCTCAGAATGTTCAGCGCCTCGTCCTCACGAGGGGGTTTACGACAGTAAGGGGAACCCTAATATAGAGCCCCCAAATGGTAGGATTCCCTTATGAACAGGACCCCAATAACACCCCTACTTTCGGAAACCCCCGTGTAACCATAAACCCTAAACCCTATACCCTAACCCCTAAACCCTAAACCCTAAACCCTAAACCCCAAACCCAGGCACCTCCTTGCGGGTTGCCCGGGCGCCGTCGAGATCGAGCCGTGCGGGGCCGGATCCCTCTATGGCTTCTCAGGCCCATATTAAATGTACTAAAAGGGTCTAGGGTTTAGGGTTTAGGGTTTAGGATTTGATAAGGCTTGTCACCCTGGATTAACAGGGGGGCTTTGCTGGGTAATATAGGAGATTAAATTGGAACAGGGTTTTGGGGGGTTATTGTAGTATAGTTATATAGGGATCCATGAGGGAATACTATTGGTGATCTTTCCGACCCCTATATTACTCACAATTATTACTCGCGCCAATGTTCAGCCCCTGTTCTTCTTAGTTTATGGAACTCTGGTTACGCATGCTTCTGGGAATGATTGGGCTGCAGTTTCATCTGCAAAGGCCAGCCCTTTCTTGAAAGCTCCGGCCATGAGGGCCTCAATCGCGGCAGGTACTCCTACGCGAAAGTAGTGAGGAAACTTGTGCACAGCTCACCCTGATTCCGCAATCCAGAAGCCCTACAACAGAAAGCTCGCACCTGAATCCTATGACGTGGCACTTGTTTGGTCGTGGCAACTTCTTTTGGGTAGCACAATGTATTTCCCCCCCACCTCCACAACTAATACCTAACCCAAGAAGGAACTGCATTGGAGCCTTGAGGTAGAACCTAAAACCCGAAACCCTGAACCCTGAACCTGAAGCCCTGAAGACTTGGGGCAGGCGACGTGGTGCGGTGGATCGTGGAGACACAGCGCCCGGAGGCCTCCTGGAGAAGAGCGTTGGCGGTTTAGGGTTTCGGGTTTCGGGTTTAGGGTTGAGGGTAGCATCTCAGGCACCATCTACAACGCCTGAACCCCCCAAGCGATCTCTACACCCCCCTTAGTCCGTCGGTGCTGGGAAAGCTGTGCCGAGGTAGGACACCGGATGAACTACGAGGACATGCCGCAGTGTGTCCAGCAGAAATCAAGCAGTTCCATGTTTTCGTAGCAAAGAGTCATCGGGAAACATGAGCGTTACTCCGAAGCAGAGTGCTTCTGTTTTGAGCAACCGACGCCCGCATTCGGGCACATGATATCCCATGTAGTACTGATCAGTTTGCTGATGCGTGTAGGCCGTTTAGGGTGCAACAGGGAGAGACTGCGCAATCTACGCTGCACAAGGATGTTGACCAAGACCGAGACGAGACTTCTCTCAAATCCAAGCCCTTACCATATTTCAGCCTGCGTAAATAGAATCCTGTCCAGATGTCCTAGACTCTGAGCCTTAATTAGACTCCTCAAGCAAACAAGTTGCAACGCCTAGCCCTCAGATGTCTGAACTTGAAGAAGCGGGGTTGGTGTTTAGTGTTCAGAAGCCTAAATTAAGTCTTGAAGGTGTGGTCTCATACATTCTGTCGGCTCAGGGCTATGTGAGTTCAGAGGATTGCTTTAAAGCCAAGTTTGACGCTCATGAGGTTTCCAGCGTTTCGGTTTCAGTCGGCTTCAGGGTGCAAGCCTTAAACCCTGGAACCCCGATAGACCCGTAAACCTCATAAGCCATAAGCCGTGTACCCTTGACCCCTACACCCGAAGCATATGTCGCACAGGATCTGCACGCCTGTCGGTGGGCGAAGCGCTTCGAGGAGGTCGGGCTTCTGAGGGGGAGCTTTGTTTGAACAGGAATCTGCCATATGAGGTTTGGGGTTAAGGGTGCACGGGGGTTTTATAGGGTTTATGGGGTTTGGGGTGTTGAGGGCTTGGGATTTAGGGTTGAGATGCTAGAATCCAGAGAGCCAAGTCTAGGCGGACAGCTTTGAAGCAGATTGTCGTTCGGTGCTCTGCCCCAAAAGGCCGAAGACCTCAGCTCTTTGAAAAGTGAACTGGGGTCGTTTAGACTGCAGAGCTGCGTTTGTGTTAAGCTCTCGAGTAACGTTGCAATATAGCGGACATTCTTATTTTACGCGGAAGGGTCGAAGAGGTAAACACGATTGCGCGGAAGGCTCGCGGAAGGTGTTTCTGTCAGCATATTCGAAACTTACAGAATACCCTATAACAATCTTCTTCGGGATGGTATTGCTGACGCCCGACACGCCGGCAACAACAAGAATCGCGCCCCGTCGCCGTTTGGGAGAGCGGAAGCCCCGCGGAAGGCGGAAGGCCACGTTGGCTTGGAAGCCCCGATCCCACGCCTCTCCCATCCCTCAGTACACCCTAGACCCTAAACCCTCCAGAAAACCAACCCTGCATCCTTAACCCTTGATCACCCTTAATTTAGCTTAACCCTTGACCCTTGAGACCCTTGCCCTAAACCTCAACCCTAAAACCTATGGACATCATATATACTCGGGCTAGTGGAGTCGGGTATTTCCGTGGAAGGCTCGCGGAAGGAACATGGCATACGGCGCGGAAGTGTCCGCGGAAGGAGTACAATGTCCATCTATGCATGCTTGCGGAAAAACACTACTCGACATGAGCCAAAAAACAACCCCAAAAGGGACCGCAACTTAGAGACTTGACTTGACCTCGTGCAACAACGGTGGGTGCGTCGCCAGGCTCATCAGGGTCTGGATGTTTGCGGCCTGCTGCGTGCGCGGGACTTCCAGCCTCACGCTTGAAGGTTTTGGGTATGAAGGTTTCGCATGAGGGTTCAGGGTTGGAGGCTTAGGGTGCTTAATGCCGTTCCGGGGTTTTTGGCTGGCTGTAGATCTGCAAGGCTTGACGCTGTAAGGGGTTGCTAATCTGTTAAGGCCACCGGGGCTTTCAGGGTCTAGTTCCCAGGAAGAAGCATTATGCCTTTGTCTCTTAAAGGCTCGGCCAACGGATGCTGCACGTAAGTGTCTGCGCGAAGGCAGCATGTCAAGAGTTAAGAGGGATGTAAACAGATGTAAGTTGCGCCCGATGCATAGATGTCGGATCAGACCAGGACTCCTTCGTTCGTTTGGGGGCTTTCTTTGGCGCAAGTCGGGTGGACGCGTGGCTACCAGGTGCATTGTTTACACCCCGTGGTTTTTTTGGCTGAGGTCCACTGATTACATGCAATAGGCTCACAGAGTTCGGGGTTGAGTTGCGGCGGTGTGAAACTTGTGGTAGGTCGGATGTCAAAATCGCGAACCCTGCCAGCCTCGCTTCAGTCTTTTTGCTCTGTCTGTGGTTGGGCGCATCAACTGTCAGGAGAGGGTACTTGTGCAGCGTTGTTGTGAGGCCTGCGCACATAGGTGCGAAAGCAGCACCTACTTAGATCACCCAGTAGCACGGGCTGCAGAGGTCTCCTACTTGCCAGATGAAGTTCAGTGTCTGTGCCCCTTGCTCAGGAACGCGTGGATCCATCCCATTAAGGACGGAGCTGCCGACCAGTTTCGGGCAGAACCCTATATCCTTAACATATTTTCTTATATCGTATTCAATCTTTTCGGATTATATCACGCTGTACTCTCTGCTATCGTGATTGCCACGATTCAAGTTGAGATAGGTTTAAATCCAGAATGTCGTAATGACTTCAAATTCGGAAGCCACCGTGATCTGAAACCAACCTCTGTCAGTTTAGGGTTTAGGATTTAGGGTTTAGGGTTTAGGGTGTAGGGTTTAGGGTTTAGGGTTTAGGGTTTAGGGTTCTTTTGCGGCCACCTGTTGGATGCCACAGGACCCTCGGGCGTACTTGAATTGTTTCTACAACCGACTCTTGGCTCGACCTTCATGGTCTGCGGGAGTTTGCTGAATCTTGGTCCATGCTTAGCAGGAGGTGTGGATAGTACAGGGAGTAGTTAGGATGCAGGCAAGTATGCAGCTTATGGCATACAACCTTGCCCAAACGCTGTGGTCATGACCCTGAAGGGTGAACATCCCAAACCCCGTTGCCAGATCATGTAATTTGGCTCCACACCTCGAGCAAGGTCACTCTGAACATCTATAAACAGGCGGTACCTTAAGCTCGGACTCACCCAACTGGAGCTAGGCTTCACAACTACGCGTTTTTGCCTGTGGATACACTTGGCCGTACAAGTGTATTCAGCACCCCAAAGCCTAAACCCTCAAACAAGCAATTGTCGTAAGAAGAACAACGCTCATACGATGATGTTAGGTTACAAATAATAGCATGCGGGAAGTAAGAACTACAAAAACCGCGATAATACCACTAATAGTAGAAATGCAAGATAGAAGTAGAAGGATACGTAGAAATGCGAGATAGTAGTAGTAGTAGTCGTCGTCGTCGTAGTAGTAGTAGTAGTAGTAGTAGTAGTAGTAGTAGTAGTAGTAGTAGTAGTAGTAGTAGTAGTAGTAGTAGTAGTAGTAGTAGTAGTAGTAGTAGTAGTAGTAGTAGTAGTAGTAGTAGTAGTAGTAGTAGTAGTAGTAGTAGTAGTAGTAGTAGTAGTAGTAGTAGTAGTAGTAAGTAGTAGTAGTAGTAGTAGTAGTAGTAGTAGTAGTAGTAGTAGTAGTAGTAGTAGTAGTAGTAGTAGTAGTAGTAGTAGTAGTAGTTGTGGTAGTAGTCGTCGTCGTAGTAGTAGTAGTAGTGGTAGTAGTGGTAGTGGTAGTAGTAGTAGAAGTAGTAGTAGTAGTAGTAGTAGTAGTAGTAGTAGTAGTAGTAGTAGTAGTAGTAGTAGCAGTAGCAGTAGCAGTAGCAGGAGCAGTGCTGCTCTTGAGGCTCCCACGGCTGCTGGGCGAACGACCTCGGCCTGCAGCGGCTTCATTTCCGATTGCCCTTCAAAAAAGGGGGTGAGGCTTGAGGGTGTGTAGGGTGCTAAGGCTCAACCCCCAGTGATAGTTTTTTTGTTTACTGGCATTTCTTCATCTTCTTAAGCCCTCTCATGTAAAAGGAGGTAAGTAGTACAGTATTCCTATGACGGTTCGAAAAAGAGTTCAGGGCCAGGTCCCCAAACCTTAGGGTTTGGGGTTTCTGGGTTGAGGCTGTAGGGTTTAGGGTTTTGGGCTTAGGGTTCCCAAACCCATGCTCCTTTCCCCAAGTTTCGTCCATGTGCATTACAATCTATGCCAAAAGGGTGCATTTGTTCCGGAGGAGGGCCACTTGAGGGAATGCTACTGTTGGGAAACAGCTGGTTTGTGTACTTTCAACTGCTTAGGAATAAAAGTTCTTGCAACTTATGCAGCCAAAACCCCAAGCGCCTTCCTCCTCTCCGCCAAAACCCTGGACCTTCCACGAGCTCTTGGCTTCAAATGCCTTAGTCAGCCCAGGGCAGAAACGCTACTCTGGCCAGCGCCCGCCACCGAAGAGCCCATGAACCCAAACTTGTCGAACCCTCAGCACGGAACCCTAAACCTTCAGCCCTTAAACTTAGCCTTAAACCTTAAACAAGCCTTGGCCTTGGACCCCCCACACCAAAAATCCTGCGACCTTGAACCCTCAGCCCTTAGCCCTTAAACAACCCTTGGACCCCCAAACTAAAGTCCTGTGACCCCAAGCTGTAAGCCTGTGCACTTACATTGGGCATTGGCGCCGCCCACCAGCGGCATGGATGGGTGGGGCAGCCGCATAGTCAGCTGCCCAGTCGTTTGGAGAGTGCAGCTGTTGATCTGCAGGGCCCATGGCATTCTTCTTGGGGTCCTAGTATGTATACATGTCTACATGTATACTATGTGTATATATATATACACACATGTACACACACACACAGAAAAGGCCCCAAACCTAAGCCCTTTATGTGTTGATTGAAGATGTCGTGGTGGGGGGGGGGGGGGTCGCTGTCTTATATGCTCTTCTTTGCACGAAGAGTTGAAGTAATTGCCTGTGTCCCACTGACACCACTACCGGTAGCCCGGGCCCTCTTTGAGGTCGAAAGGATGTGCATTCCGAAACAAGTCCTAGCGCCCTGCTTTGCACCTGCACTCGTTGGAGCGCTATCAAGTATCTGTCCGTCTACAGCCTGAATCCTGAACCTGGAAACCGCCCTGGAGCAAAGCTCATGCCTTGGAGACGAGGCCGGTGTAGCCGCTTCACCTCATGAGCTCTGGAGGCACGACTCTCCCCGCCTTTCGAGGGGTTCCTGCGCGCTCGAGAGGGCTCACGTGGGCTTTTCTGTGCCGCATTGGCTCCGCAGCGTGCAGATCCTATGTCCGACTTGAGCTTATGTGAGGCAGCCCGGGTCTCCCACCTGGCTGGGCTGGCAGCTGAGGGGATGGCGTTCGGCGCTTCGGGGTTTGGTGGTATAGCTCTTGTGTGAGCACGTGGACAATTCCTGTATGGTAAGCCACTATTGCCTTTGGCCTTTGCAGCCCGACCCGAGGCCCCCACGCTTTTGGAGCCAGTTGCGGTGCCAGCGGCCTGCGCCTCACAGATGCAAAGACGGCAGATTTGTAAAAGCGCGACAATGTTCAGTCTCGGCAGGTGTATCACTTCCTCTATATAATTAGCTCAAGTAGCTCCATCTGCTGCACTGTTGCGCTGCCCTTCATGCTGCAAAGACTGCAAAGACGCTGAGTACTCGTTGTCATCAACTGTGTTTTCTCTGAGTTTTCTCATTTTTGACCAAGCTGTGGCATGGAAGCCACTAGAGGCATTTCAGGTCACGCGTAGTATGCCTCAAACGGCAGCAGGGCATTCGAGGTACTCTTGCCGGCAGATGGTCCCCAATTTCGCAATCTTTACGGAAAAAAGCCCCTCCCTTCAACTCCCTTCCTCTAGGGCTCAATCTGCCGCAGGCTCGCAAGCACATAAGCCCCAAAGATGCAACTGTTCATCGGCCCAGCAAAGCGTCTCAACTCCTCAAGAGAGCGCTTGTCTCCGAAGCAGATCCGCGCATCGAGGCCTTCAAGCCGCATTCGCCCGTGCCCGCGCCCGAGCCGAACCTGCAGGTGGCTTCCCCCTCCACGGCTGGTTGGGTTTGTGGCTTATGGGTCTGCGTTTAAGGGTTTAGGGTTTTTAGCATTAGGTTTTTTAGGGCTTGTTGCTGTTTTTTGGGTTTTTGGTCTGAGTTTTCTGGGTGTTAGCATGATGAGCTGGGGGTAGAAGGGTCTTTCCGGCTTCCCGATGGAGGTCGAGCCGAGGGCCTGTTGTCACGCGGACCCGAGATCTGAAAGGTGAACCCGAAGACTTCGTCCCTGGACCTCTGGCTCCTAGTTCCTTTCTTAGGTACCTCATTCTGTCAGTCTTTTCATGCTACCATAACCCTAAACCCTAAACCCTAAACCCTAAACCCTTTGTGATACATCGTTTGGCACCGTTCTCCCCTTAAGCCCTCGACTCGTTGAAGCTTGGTCCGCCAGGACCACATCGAAGACACTCGCCGAGCTCCCACTGGGCTAGGGCTTGGGGAGTTGGGTTTTAACGCTTTGGGCATTTTGGGGCTTTTGAGCCCTAAGCCCAAAAACCCCAAACCCTGTGACATTTAGGGTTTCAAGGTGGTGAAGGGGAGTGCAGGTCGAACAGAGCGAGTAAGGTTCACCTGCAACTATAATTATACCCTAGACGCGAACACTAAACCCCATAGCCCCGGTGGTGGCCTTCTAGAATCGGTTCGGGGAGCTGCGGGCTTGGGGGTGTTGAGGGCTTAGGGCGTATAGGGGGCACTGCACCGAAGGACGCCGCACGCCTTCATTTCTGGATGGCTGGAGCGTTTTTTTTTTTAATCACGGCTCACCTGTTCGGCAAGCAAGTCTCCACACAGGAAGACCGAGCCTGGCTTCTCTATTCCTATACTCGAGCCTGCAAGATCCTGCAAGTAGCAGTCGTTTCTACTGCGCAGAATTGGCACAGCTGGCGCACATCGTTGCAGCGACTCCTCCATAAATTGATTTTTCCACGCGTCGCCAGCCATGGCCGCTGAGTACTACGTGAGCTCGTACCGTGAGTTCAAAGAAATGGGCATGGAAGAGGCGAGGGTTGCCGAAATGACTGTTTCGAAGTCCGCAGTCTGCGCCTGAGTTCGCGACAATGTATCCAAGTAGGTGGCCTTGAACCTTCACCCCGAGTTGACTGGAGGAGTTAGTGAGAGGACTATTTCTATGGATTCGCATTGCAAAAAGTGCTCGTACGGGCACAAATCAGATTAGGGTTTCGGGTCAAGGGGCAGATACCCTGCACCCGAAACCCTAAACCCGAAACCCCAAACCCTAAACCCTAAACCCCAAACCCTAAACCCTAAATCCTAAACCCTACAAAGTCCTCCTGCTGCGGAGTTGGCTCTGTCCGTCCTCAAGGAGGGCTTGCAAGCGCACCCCTTGGACGAGGCCAAGCGGGCTCCAGGTTTAGGGTTTAGGGTTCAGGGTTTCAGGGTTCAGGGTTTACGGTTTAGGGTTTAGGGTTTAGGGTTGAGGGTTTAGGGTTTAGGGGCTACATAAACAAGGGTTTTGGGTTTTGTAGTTTATAGGGCTTAGGGCATGTTTTCCTGATCCCATGTTGGGTTGATGTGCACTTGCACGGCCAAGGGATTGTTCTCTCCGGGGCTCTGGGTTGTGAAGGGGCGAGTGCTGAGAATAGAAGGGTCGAGTGAAAGTACCCTAAACTCTAAATCCCTGGCTTTCGGCATGCGGGCTGCATGGAGATTGAACCTCGCATGTGCTGCAAGCTACGCACCCTATACACCCTGAACCCGAACCCTAACCCCTATTACCCCCGAACCCTGGACCCCGGACCCTACAAACCCTAAATTCCCAACCCTCAACCCCATAAGCCCCATAGACCCTAAACCCTAAACCCTAAACCCTAAACCCTAAACCCTAAACCCTAAACCCTAAACCCTAAACCCTAAACCCTAAACCCTAAACCCTCCCCCCGCGAGACAGCCCCAGGGCCTCACCAAGCTGAGCCGCGAGAATGGTCTCAATCACGAGGTTCGCAAGGGCCTGTGAGGTGAACCCCAGGGTTTAGGGTTTAGGGTTTAGGGTTTAGGGTTTAGGGTTTAGGGTTTAGGGGTTAGGGGTTAGGGGTTAGGGGTTAGGGTTACACGGGGGTTTCCGAAATTCGGGCTACCTTGTTGGGGTCCCTATTATAAGGAAATCCTACTTATGGGGGGTGGTGTATATTAGGGGTCCCTTGTTTTCGTAAACCCCTATGTAAGGCTTTTGGGTTTCTGGTTTAGGGTTGGTGGGGCTTGTGAAGGTTCACCTCGTGGGGATTGGGGTTTAGGGTCATTTGGGGATTTAGGTTCGTTTTGGGGTTTTCAGACCAGTGGACAGTTCTCTAAAGAATGTTCCCTAAATGATTTTTGTTTGGGGGGGGGTGCCCTATTTGAGATGGAGCCCTGATTTTTGCAGCACTGTACCTAAAAAGAGGCCCAACCAGTCCTGGTGCTCTTGGAGCGGCTTGGGGGTATTTAACATTAGGTTGCGGGACCCTGAACCCCAACCCCAAACCCTAAACCCTGCACCCTAGACAACCCCAAACCCTAAACCGTAAAACAACCCCAAACCCCAAACCCGACCCCAAACAACCCCAAGAAACCCCATACAACCCAACGACCCCCAAACCCAAAACAACCCCAAGCCCCGAACCCCCAACTCTAAACCCCACCCCCCCCCCCCCCCCCCCCCCCCATCAAACCCTCCCACACCCTCACTCTTGGGCTGCAGGTGCGGCTCCCAGCTCAAGCACCACAGCTTGGTCCCACGTTGCTTTGGCACGACCCAAGGGTGTTGCTGGGAGGTGGTTTAGGGTTTATAGGGTTTATAGGGTTTATAGGGTTTATAGGGTTTATAGGGTTTATAGGGTTTATAGGGTTTATAGGGTTTATAGGGTTTATAGGGTTAGGGTTTATAGGGTTTATAGGGTTTATAGGGTTTATAGGTTTTATAGGGTTTATAGGGTTTAGGGTTTGGGGGTTGGGGTTTAGGGTTTAGGCTTTAAGGGTTTTTCGGGTTTAGGGTTCAGGGGTCCTGCAGGTAGAAAACAAACGGGGTGGGGCCAAGGTCGGTTTGGGAATTCTTGTTTGGATGAGTGCAGGCTCAGGACGTCTTGCTGGGCTTTAGATGGGCATGGGTAGGGTTTAGGGGGCTTTCAGGGTTTGGGGGCTCTGCCAGGGTTTAGATGTGGGGCTTCGGGTGTCCAGAGTTGAGGGTTCCAGGGGTGATCCGGATGCAGATGGACCTGGGCGTTGAGGGGATAAAAGGGTTCAGGAGTTTAGGCTTTAGGATGGAACGCTGCGGGGCGTGGCACTCTGATCGTAGTTAGCGTTTGGATTTGATTCGTTCTGTGTCATCGGTACGTTTGGATGATGATCCGAAGGGTTCATTGGGTCACAGCTGCATGGACCAGGCTTTACGTGTCTGGTGATTTCCCCTCCATGAAGGTTGGACCAGCTTCTGACCGGTTCCCTCACAGCGCCGCCCGGCATTCTCTTGGCAGGCCCTTGTGACCTTTTGTATGTTCCCCTGTTTTGTTTCATGGGGTCTTATTCAAGTACATTCTTCATAAAGTTTAACAGGCCAACCTAGTTTGCCCATATGAGGGGCCCATGCGCCCGAACGCTCTGACAGCTCTGACCCGAGGATGCAGCCACAGAATCTGCCGAGACCCGCTGACGAGCACGAGGTAGCACCCGCAGAGCTGAAAGATTCGGAGATGATCCTCAGCGAATGCAAGACCTTACTTTTTGGAGTACCTCAACCCTATAAGCCCTCAAAGCCCTACATACCCTATAAGCCCTCTAAAGCCCTTTTGCCATACAGATAAACTCTTTTCGACCCAGCCCTATAAGCCCGATAAACCCCCAAACCCCAATCGCGCGCCGTGGCGCCTCGCCTTGAAGCCACCTGGGGGGAAGGAGGGCCCAGATGCAAGGGCCCATGTTGAAAGCGCCGGAGGCTTATAGGGTGTAGGGTTTAGGGTTTGGGGTTTCGGGTTTAGGGTTTAGGGTTTGGGGTTTGGGTTTAAGGTGGATCTTCGGGGAGTTCTATTGGTGGCCACCAGGGTTGCAGTTGATTCGCTGGCTTGCCCACATCATCTTCGGCTTCATGGGCCCCTAAGTGGATTGTCCTGCAAACGCAGGGTAGGCTGAGGACGTAGGGTGCACGGGATTTAGGGCCTGAGCAGTTCAGTTTTTGTTTTTGTTTAGGCTTTAGGTTTGTCTGCAATCAAGAGCTGCTTGCCGAGGACTGGAGAAGAATTCTGGGCTGCGCTGCGCAGCCAGAAGCTGAAGGCCCATGGGCCCATTCTTTCTCGAGACCTCAGCGAGCAGGATTTGCAGTATGACCCTCAGCCCTAAACCTCCGCGATGGTTTAGGGTTCTGGTGATTAGGGTTTAGGGTTTAGGGGGTAGAAACTTCTTGAAAGCATACCAAGCACTGTCTTGGAAACTCAGCCCTCCAGCTCAAGACAGAACGTGTTCTTTGTAAACACAGCGGCTCCACCAGCTACAGCAACGATACGACTGCAGCCTGTTGCAGGCACGGTCTGAATCTTGGAGAGTTCAGAGTTTGTGGAGTTCACACCAACAAGCCAGCCTCAGGTATTATTGTTATTATTCTCATTATTAATAGTTTTATTATGATTATTATTGATATTGTTATTACTATTACTGCTATTATTAAGAATATTTGTAATACTATTCATACTATTCATACTATTGACTTTATTTCTTTATTAATAATATTAATAAAATTATTATTAATATTTTTGAAGATATTGATATTCATAATATATCATTATTATTATTAGTATTATTAGTTTTATTTACATTATTAATAGTATTAATATCAATAATGTTATTAATATTACTAGTATTAGTTTTAATATTATCAATAGTATCCATATTCTTAATACTATTAATATTATTGTATTATTAATACTTTTAATACTTTTATTTTTTAAAAGAACTCTCGCAGGCGTTGTTGCTGGAGCGAGGTGGGCTGATTCGAGTGTCGGCTGCTTGGGCTGCAGTTTTAGGATTCAGGGTTTGTAGTAGGGTTTAGGGTTTGGGGTTTAGGGTTTAAGGTTCAGGCTTTAGGATTCAGGGTTTGCAGTAGGGTTTAGAGCTTATAGGGTTTGGGACCCTCAGCCCCCTTCGAAGCCACTACAAGAAGCCATGCGTGTCCAATCCCTCGTGCATTTCGGGCTCCGAGCATCCCAACTGAGGGTACAGGGGGGTTTTATGCAGCGTGGGCATTCAGGTTGCGGGCCTAAACATTGGGTGGGGGCCCCAACGAAGACCAAAACGAACTGTCGGAATCGGTTAGACCTAAGCTGTACATCGAGCTCCTACCCTTATTCCAGCCACCCATCTTTATTTTACTCCCAGCCAACCCTAAACCCGCAACCGTCTCAGTCGTAATCTGAGCATCCAAGCCCCC